GGAGCGCCGAATCCAGCCGTGACGGCTGTCGATGACGAAATCAAGACTGGCACAGCAGCTGCGAATGGTGTAGCTAAGGCAACGACTAAGGAGGAGAGGCCAGAGATTGGAAGGGCTCTGACGGAAAATGGAGAGCACGATGATCCCCTTCTGAAGAATCTGACCCTGATGGGCTATTCACGCAAGGATGCGTTGGCGGCGCTCGAGAAATACGACTATAATCTGGATAGAGTAAGTTGCTCCATTGCCTGTTGATATGAAGAGCGATGCTAACGATTACAGGCTGCGGATTTCCTTGCGAGTGGAGGAACTGCTTGAACCGTGGATGTGTGCACATATTGAAGCTACTTTTCGCGTTGGTCCCTTGCATTTTCCAGGGCTTCGTCTCTGTTCATGTGCTGTTCATGCGCACTCTACATATCATGTCGATAGTTGTATACTGAGATAGCACCATCATCTTCCAGTGTTCGGCAGATACTACCCAGGTAGTATCTGGGTCCTCGCCAGGTAAGGTAAGTATCTGAGCGACTTTGCTCAGGTAAGGTAGGTATTTACAGATACTTTAGCAGGTAGTTGAGCCTCAATTCCGTATACAAAAATGACGCTTTTGATATTTGAAATAGATAATGATATGTAACTAGAATATGTAACTAGAAAAGTGAAACTCGTGACAAATATAATAATAAAATAGACAGCCCCTATTCCTATTCTTCTGCCTCATCATCTGCATCATCACCGTCGCTGTCGGCATCTGGTAAATAACCCCAATTCCGTAAGCAAAGCATATATCTAATTGTCGATGGCGACAATCTATTCCTTTTCTTAGTAATGATATCGCTACCATTGCTAAATACCCGTTCTGATGGTGCTGATGTCGCAGGAATTGCAAGATGGTCTCGAGCAACTTGAGCAATTATTGGATATTGATATTGCTTTGCAGACCAATATTTGAGAATATCAGTATGCTCACCAGGCCGTGGTTCAAGCATCCATCGTTTCCATTCTGGTTCTTCAAATGATATACCCTCTGATGCAAATAAATCTTCATCAGAATCTGGTTCTTGCACTCTAGTATTTGCATTTCCTAATGCATCTGCAAGAGCTGTTTCACGTTCAATACGCTCTGTATCAAGATGATATTGCCGTGTCTTATATGTTCTACAAACATCTTCAAACTGTGCTCTTGCCCGTGTGATTCGTACATGATCTGTACTATCTGGATATATCTTTTTAAACACTGTATGGTTCATCCGTGGATCGCAAATTGTAGCTACAGCTGAGTGCTTACATTGCTGATTTGTTGCAAGAGTATAATACGCGTGAAGCTTTTGATAAGCTACTGTGCATGCAATACCAATTGCTGAGTGCTCGCCAACTTCTTGTTGCATCTTCTTAACTTTATTTATCATTTTAAGATAAAGTGGAATAGCAAAGTTAAGTGACGGATATGTATCACTTTGTAGCCGTCTTGATGGTTTGAGAAATATTAAGAACAGTCGTTCAAGATCTTTAATAACAGCCCAATCTCCTGTAGTTAATGCAATATCTTTCATACTAATATCAAGCTGTTGTGTTATGCATACTGCTGTGATTGGTATTTGGAGTTTTAATGCTGTATCAAGCATACGATGTGTTGAATTCCATCGTACTGGCATATCAAGTGATAGTTGCTGTGGTTTTAAACCTATAGCTTTGACTTGTCGTTGTAAAGCATCCTTCCATGCTCGTCGATTACGAAAGACATAGATATGTCTTCGTAGCTTTGCAAGAGCATTCATGACTTCCACATGACTATCTCTACTAAATGGAATCCGAGCTGCACCTTGCTCACACCGGTATGTCTCTGTCTCTACATCTGGTTCTGCTTTTAAACTCGTAAGAGCGGCTTGAACTGCGATATTTATGATATGTGCAATACACCGGACATCGCCTTCTTTGACAGTAAATGTCCAAGGTTGTTGAGTTGATGTTTGGGCGTTGCTAGCCAATTTCTCATATTCTGAGAGCATCACAGTATTTGATGATGCGTTGTCTCGGGTGCATGTAAAGATAGCGCCTGTAATAGCTATACTATCTGTTACAGCTGCTAATTGCTGAGCTAAGTATTCACCGCTATGAATAGGCTCTTGAAGATGTATCACATCAAGCAATTTTGATTTCTGCTGCCATTTATCATTAATCCAATGAGCGGTAACAGCAGCATACTCTGTATAGTTCCGTGCAGACCATGCATCTGTCGTTATGGATATCCGGCCTCCATGTATAATATGAGAATGGAGTTCAAGCTGTAGTATGCCTCGGTGATATGAGAATTGGCGTTGTAGTTCTCGGTGCAATGTTCTTGACGAAAGTGATAACACAGATGGACTTAAGAACCGTACTAATTGACGATATGAATAGCTTTCGATAATGCGTAAAGACAGGTTATTAGATACTATAAACGATAGCACTAACTCTCTATATTTGGCTGGATTGTTTGTTGGTCTTGATTCATGGGTCGCTGGTCTCCGAGGCTCAAAAAATGATGATGTGCTGCTAGATTGACTTGAAGGCGCTGTATTCTTGTGTTTAAGAGCATCATAGATTCCTTTATGCTTAAGACTATAGTGTTTCCAAAGATTGCCAGTTGAAGCAGCAGCTTGAGCATGGGTTTGAGCTGCGGGCGAGTATCCGCAATTAGGCTGCATACAGCATACTTTGATAGTTGGCGGGTTGCTCTCAAGTAGTATTCTTGAATATAGTTCCTTCGTGAACAGCAGCGACTGCGTTGGCGGTAGCATTTGGCTAGGTGGGTGTAGACGGACAGGAATTGGATTTGATTGCTGAAAAGGGGTAAAAAGCCCTGGTAGGGCTGGCTCATCGTGAGGATTATAGCCATCAAGGTCCGTCGGCACGTCTGACAACGGAGAGTCACTCATTTTCACGGCAATTATCACCATATCAAGCATGAAGACGAGTATTTCAACGTTAGCATTTGTGCGGCTTGGCTACACTTGGCAATACTTGGCATGTATCTGGGTAAGTATCTGAAAATACCGGGATACTCAGGTATTTTGAGAATGAGCCCAGGTAGGTAATTACCCAGGTAATTACCTGAACACCACAGGTAATCAGGTATCTGTGCCGCACACTGTCATCTTCTAATGGAAATTTTATCATCTTTAATTCTTGATTTAATTTAATGGCTTGGGGTTTGCCAGTCTATATATGCCGTATTTGTACTATATTTATTGATTTGATGAAAAATAAAATATTTACAGAAGAATTGCTACATCTCGTGCAACACGGCGTGGCAGCACTACGACCCCTCCTTCGTTGAGCATTGGTACTTGGAAACGCGTCCATACGTTTTCTGACGTGCTCTTGAACCAGTCTATCCTTCACCACGCCCTATGGCGACTATCTCTTACACTCCGCGGCTAGTGGCATCCTCTTCAGCCCATTGTTATAGCTCCTCTATTTGGCAAGAGCCTTAAGAGGGGCCTTTTGGCGCAGAAGGACAGTCTGCGCGTATAACGCGTCCTTGAAGGCGAAAAGGAATGCCGCAGTCAACACGCTCTGCGTGACCTTTGGTCCGATTCCTGTAGTCATTAGTCAGTTTCAATCCTTCAAATTTACGCGCCAGACAGAGGGTACATACCGCGGTACAGACCGGCCCATCCCTCCTCCCTGATAATTCGGCTCATCACCTGTCCCATTCCCTCCTTGTCTCCTCCACGCCCAGCAACGTGCATGCGCGACTTGAGCGTGATATATGGGTAAGTCACACTGGTAGCGACCAGCTTGCCCAACGCGCCCAACAGGAACGCGATGAACGGCGTGACCTTGCGCCTCCGTTCCACCACATTCCGCAGCTGCTCAAACAGCGTATACTGCAGGATGGGGTTGATGACCAGCACCAGCGCGGGCAACACGCCCGAGAAAAGCGCCAACGGCCCCTCCTCCTTGAGCAGCACCAGCAGCGTGCCGATCGTGGACGGCGCCTTGGCCTCTGGGGCGCCGGGCAGCGCGCCGACCGAGTTGGCGCGCTTGCGCGTCGTCATGCGCGTGTTGATCACCCAGATGGGGTTTGTGAGCATGACCGTGGCGGAGCCGGCGAGCGCGCCCGCGAGCATGGACTCGAGGGTCGAAAGGCGCGGGGTTGCGCGGGCCTTGAGGAAGGCCGCGCGCGACCACTCGTAGTAGTAGTAGTACACGAAGTTGGTGAGGGTGATGCCGACGAGGGCGGATTCGAGGCCAGCGTAGAGGCCGGAGGGGCCGTCGCGGGCGAGGAGGGCGCGCGTGCTTTCGAGGAAGGTGGTGCGCTTTCGGTTGGATTCGACTTGGGCGCGTGTGGAGAGGGTTATGAGGGGGTACCTGGAAAGGGAGGGTTAGTTGGTGATTCCGGTGGGAGGGTAATGAAGGCGTACGTGAGGGCCATGGAGAGGAGGCCACCGCCTGCGCCGGAGAGGGCGTGGGCTACATTGTCGGATTGCTGAGCTGCCATTGTGGTGATAGTTTCGATGAGTTCAGGAGGTTGGGTTCGTCGGCGGACGTGTAGCAAGTTTATGATGGATTATGTGTGGGGTATTATACAAGTGAAATTCGGCAGAAGGTTATTGAAGACTATTGAAGGAGCGTAAGGGATAGTTAAGGGTGAAGCAAAATAGAATCTCGGGATATGAAGAGACGACTTTGAGGAGGACCCGAGAAATGCTTTGCTTAGTACTCCGTAGAGGCCGTGATAATAAACGTCAGTTGTTCGTGCCTCGGTAATTTCAAAGTCACCTGCGATATTCTATTGCTGTGCTGCTATTGGTAAGAACTAAGGAAGAGTTCTTTATGAGATCACGTGACTTATCACAACACCCAGCATGTGATTATTATTATCACTTTGAAGTATTGATGCAAACACTGCTTTTCGGTAATATATATTTCAAAGCTGCTGCCTTCAAAGTTTAAAAAATACGCAGCAACTATGCGGACCAGATAGTTGGTTTACATGGAGAGTTTCCCGTTCTTTATCCGTTACCTCGACAGCCGCCACCATCACATGGGCCTCCAGCGGCGCACTGGACATTGTTGTTGTCAAAGCACCGACGACGAGTTCCAATCGCAGTATGGAAAAAGGCATGCCACTTCCCAATCTGTTAGTTTATATTTGAGTTAAAGTAGTGTTTGTACTTACCTCATATCCGTTTTCATCCGGTTTGTCAAAGTAGTCAAATGTCCAGCCTGTAAGACTGCCTGCGAAAATGTCAGAACCAATAACCCTCGAATAAATTGCTTGGAATAGTTATCTTACCAGAGCCACAGCACGGATTTACTTCTTTCATTAACGACTTCTGCCCCCAGTCATATGTTGCCCATCCGGCACCATACATATTGTAGGACTGAAATATAAACTTGTACCACCCCCAGCAAGCTTGTGTTGACTTCTTTGGCGGGGGCCATGGGCGATTCGTCCGCAAAATGTTGATTGCATAAGTATACTCGCCCTCAACTCTCTTGCCGCCACCCTTCCAATTCATTGGATTTTCGTCCCCGTGAGGCACGTCACAGCCATTGATAATAGTACCGATAGCTTTCTTGCAGGCACCTACTTCAAATTTGGCGGCGTGGTCAGAGAGTGATACGATCATCGTGTACTCATCTAAAGTACCCCCGTAATAAGATTTGCTGCGGATCCAACCAGACTCGTTCTCTGGAACATTGTCGGCTACATAGCCGCAGAAATCATCAATTTGGTTATTAAGGGATTCAGCACTAGCATAGGCCGTGCTTCCCTGGCCTGAGTAGCACGTTGTCTCATCAACAATGGGACATACGGGGCCTTGCCCGAGTATACTAGCACGGGCATCTGCAATGGCGTCAAGGGCAAATGCCGCAATGACTTCGTGGCCAAGGTTGTTGGGGTGAAAGATTTTTCCGATAAAGTCAGGGAGAGAGAGGGATGATTTCCCACATTGAGGATCGACGGGGTCGCGCTTTGCCATCTCTGAAGGATAAGGCTCAACGATGGATGTTGCGTTGTCGTATTGCATAGTGTTAAGTCTGCGGCCCTCCAACTGAGGAATTCTACCGGTAAATAGCTTAAAGAACATTACGTCTGCGTTGCTTTTGTCGTCAGGATCCTGCAGCAGTGTTAGGCCATTTGTCATTTATAATTGAAGAAGCTGCACTTACTGGGCTTGCATCTGGCTCACCTGCAAACATGTTAGCTTCTTATCTGTACTTCATATTCGAGGCTCCAAAACGTAGGAATTTTGATACTAATATCGCTCGAACGCAGGAAACTTACAGAATTGTCCGCCAGTTAGCGGTGCCCAAGGATCCCAATCAGCAGCTACAAGGGTCATAGTCATTGCGTCGGCTGCAACCTCTTCCACAACCTCTCTTATGGCTTTATTGGTGTCCACTACCAGTGAGTTGAACTCCGTGCGCCTTTCTTTGCTCAGCGGTAGACCTCCAGCACTCAGATCGACAATCTGCCAATCTTCGCTTGTACAGGCATCCGTATTATCATTAAAGTATTGGGCATACAAGACTTGGACCACAATCCCATCTTTTGCCATTTTGGAACTAGAATTTGTCAGATTTAACTGCGATATGGGCACGTAGAGAGGCCGATAAGTCCTTACTCAATCGCCGTGAGAACCTCCTTGATATTCTGCTTGAAGTAACCTCCTGATCCAAGTGCGTCCCGGGCATGCTTTATGGCAGCGTCACATCCGTCTGCTGACGGTGCTGCACCAGCGATACATTTGTCTATGATTTTCGACTGTATCCTTGTCAGAACCGCCATAGTCTCAAGCCGTAAAGTTTAACTCACAAGACAAAGATCATTTCCACCAGCGGTCAAGATGACAAGATCTTGGTTATCGTCTAAATTATTGATCTGCTCAAATATTCCGGTTGAGATAGCTCCAGAGCATGCAGTATATGTGAATTTGTCTATACTGGGCCCGAAGAAATGGTTCATAATTACAGGATAGGTGTAAGAATATCGTGAGCAATCGTAAGAGTTGTCGTTCTCGCTGTATAGATCTCCGGATCCAATTCCCGCTGTAAAGCTGTCTCCCACAGCGGCAAATTTCTTAATCCACGAGTAGTCATTAGGCCCATCGAGGTCTCTGGCAATGCCAATAGAGCCGGTGGTAGCTGATACGGCAGAAATCAGGGCAAGACTCAACGCCATCTCGTGTATGGGCAACATGACGGTGAGCAGCAAGAATACACGCCACTACTAACGGTGCTCATAGGCGCAAACAGTAAAGAGAGATTGAGCTGTGAACAAAATCGCAACGAGAAAATATTAGCAGAATCAAAGAGCCACAAGCTTTCTCCAGGTCTGACTAGACGAGACTCGGCGCCCAATAGGAATCACAGGTGGATATCTCCATCGCAGATGACATATTTTCGTATGCGCCGAAGTAGCTGAGGAAGGATTGCCGGTCGATGAAGGATGGCGTCGGAATGACCTGAAAACTTACATCAGCACTAGCAATGTGAAGAGGCTGAGGGGTCATGGGAAACAAGCAGTGATGAGTGGGAGTCTTGACTTTTCGGCATCACCTACCTCATTCGGCAGTTCAGGTAGTTCAACATTAAAGCGCACCTTGGCGGCGGGGTGGAATACAGGGATCGTGAAGGATTGTGGAGCCATGGCGGAGTGGAGGGATGGGTGGGGAGTTTAGCTCTCGTTAGGGGCCGCTGCGCTTCTGTATGCGCGTAGTAAGCTACTCTTGGCATCTCGATATTCTTCGATGGCAGTGGACGGGCTGATACAGTGCGATCTACACTCCTATTATGGAGCATGGGCTAAAGCTGAATGCGGGTGTACAAAGCTTACATTCGGGGTTCTTATTCTTGGTGGCGTTCTGGGCCTTGCGGTGTGGAGTGCTACAAAGGCCCGAAAAGGGAAATTCACGGCTTAACCCTCGAACTGGTAGGGCCTACGATCCCAAACCTTCCTGTTATCAAGCCGCTCAGCTTCTGAAATGCTTATACAATGTTGTAACAACTAAAACCTGGAATCATGCAATTTCAGATTCTTTCAGTATGCCGTCCGGGTATCACTTGTCAACATCCTAGATTTGCAGAGGTATACACCGAAAAAGTGCGCATCGTGCTTGTGATTCAATCGGATGCAGATCCCACTTGTTCTTAAAATCTCCAATTCATAGAAAGTGTGTCCTGAGACTGGACGAGTGGAATAAGTCAGTGGCGCAACCGCGGCTACCAAAATGTCACTTGTATGTGTATCCTGTGGTCTGGAGGCTGAGAAATAGTTAAGGTTAAAATAGGCCATGGAGCACACCAAGCAATCTCCAGAGCCTCTCGTCTAAACACGTATGGTTACTTCAATAAGGTCCAGTGCTTTATTGAAACATTATTATGAGTTGGAACTAGAATTGTGTCGAAGCCTTATTATTGACTATCATCACTTCCAGTTACATATGGCCTTACCCCTGAGAAACAGCGCCTGTTTTGGGCTGCAGCCCTGATTGATCAAGCACGGGTTCGGATATGGTGCCTTTGCCGAATACATCGCATTGAACCTATTCACGTCCCTCTGACTTGGTGACTTGTTGTAAGTAATAACTTTTCCGTCTGAAGCCCTTCTGTAGACGTTGATGGGGGCGCCATCTCTAACCGCACCAGCAATTGGAGAGGCATAAAGCATAATGGAGTCCCAGTCATAGTCTCCGCTAGCAAGTTCTTTAGTGGCTGCCAAGGGCATGGGCAAAAACTCCTGCGCCGAAAACCTCCGATTTTTGGCTCTCAACTGGCTGTGACAGGCGTCATCCATGGTGCCATCTAGCTGTCCTCCAACCACACTGTAGTCTGCCAAGTTTGAGCATACGAAATTGATTTGATTTGTGACCCCTTTTGCCTCTGCGTATTCGTGTCTTTTCCAGAAGCTACCTCGTTGCTGCTCATGGAAGAAACCCCAGGCATGTCTATTTATCAGTCAGTATAGGTTACTAAAATTTGAGCCTAGAAGTTCACCCTATCTCGTGCGCCATGTTCGCGACTGGATCTCGCATGCCAATTGCGGGACTGGGATCAAATCTCATAACTGGACCAACTCCAGGGTTATATATATGATATCCAACACTGGTCACCATTTCGCCGTTTGTAAGCGCTCTGACAAGCATATGAGTTGCACCCATTGGAACCAACCCATTGACGGCTGGAGGGCAATCATTGTACTCTCCCATGTTGATACGATAACTGACACCACTGTTGACCTTAGCTGCTAAACTCTAAAAAACGGTAGGCTATGAGTCACTAACGCTGCTTGCCATATTTTCCAAGCACTTTCAATGATATGTTTCAGTTGAGTTCTCGCATTGTCGTCCTCGAAGCAATATGACAGAGTGCTTTTGGGCCATGTACTGGGGTTAAACTGAGGCTTGTCGCTAGGTTCGACGGTGTACCATCTTTTCGCCAGCTCATCTGAAGTCAGATTGCTTGCCTTGAGAGCTTTATAAAATGGCAGGTCATCGTAGTCAGGGCAGGCAATGACTCCAGTCGAGAAGGCTAGGGCAACGCAAAGACAACCGCGGATGACCTTGTCCAGCTGCATCTTTCCGCAATGCCTTTGAGAAGGAATAGCACGACTAACACATATATATATATTCAAATTTGAAAGCTGTCAATGAAAGGCGACGTTGAGGTTGTGTTGAAGAGGAATGCTTGACAAAGCACAAACCGTCTGTTGAGAAGAAACACGCCTATCGCTTTACAGAACAAAATTCGTAATTCATCAACTACTGTACAAAAAAAACACCCAACACAGTTTATTAATCCTCAATCGACATTTGATTCCGCTTGGCTCAGCTTTGCTCTACTTCTCTGGTCGTGATCATCCTTCGCGCCGGCCCCACTGCCCTGCCCCGTGGGACTTGCTCATGATCCTTCGCACCACCCCTGTCTTTACCCCCCTGGTCTTTACCCCCCTGGTCTTCTTCCGGGGATCTGTCGACGATCTGCAACTCTTTTAGAGTGCTGTGCTACCGTAAGCTTACATGTCAGTTGACGGAATGCGGTGTGAGTTTCCACTATGGACGACCCACTTAAAACAAGGCCGAGCTGTTCCTTGTCGATGTTCCTCGTCGACTGTGAGTTCATAGGACGAGACTATCAGTAGTGACTGTGCTGCATCCTTCCAGTCTTAGAAGCGAGAATTATTTTGAGTAATTCATACCGGAATGACCGAATAAGGCCTGAATCCCCCTCTCCATACAGTTATGACATTAGCTACGCTCTAATGGTGTGTGGGGTCAGTGGGGTCAGTGGGGTATCATTTCGGGTGTCAACGGCAATCATGCACTTGATCTTCTACTGTCGAGCTCTCTCGTTCAACTCTCTGCAATTATTTTTGTTGAAAGGGAAATATTTCAGCCATGAAGCTATTTACATTTCTCCTGGCGGCGGGGCTACTCTTTGTTGCCCCCATTATTTGTGAAGATTATCATTGCACGAAGGACAAAAAATGTAAGAGTGGCTGTTGTAGGCTGGAACCTGATGGGTAAGCTCTATCCGAATCGGGGGTACATGATTAAGTTGCTAAATCTTCTGTAGAACGGGAAACTGTGGTCTTGGTATATCATCACATTTGGAGCTAATAAACGTTTCGCTGATTGATATCAAGGGCCTACATTCTGTGGCAAGGGCAACTGCACGTCAACATGCGACGAAAAATCCGAATGTGATCCTGGATGGGGCTCAATGTGGTCTACAGCAGAAAATTGCCCTCTCAACGTCTGCTGCAGCGAGTACGGCTTCTGTGGTGAGCGCAACAATAGCGAAATATGACTATGGAGGTGGCTGAATAGATTAGGCACCACCCCTGATTTCTGTCAGGGCAACATCCCAACTTCTCCTTCATGTAGCGGCGGTTTCAGCTCTGATGCTCGCACGATTGGATACTATGAAGGCTGGAATTTGGAACGAAGCTGTCAAAGTAAGTTTTTTTATTAATCGGGAGCGATGTGTAGCACTAGTAATTATATCTAGCCATGACCCCCGAAAAGATACCTTTGGGATATTACACGCACATCAATTTTGCATTTGTGCTCATAGATCCGGACACCTTCACCATCGCTCCTATGGGAGATGATGTTGCGGCACTTTATACAAGAGTCACAGGCCTTAAAGCTGCTCAGCCAGGGCTTAAAGTTTGGATCTCGATTGGAGGATGGGCTATGAACGATCCAGGGCCAACTCAAGCCACGTTCTCGGATCTTGCTGCGTCCGAGAATGCGCAAGAGAATTTTTTCAATTCCCTCATTACCTTTATGATGGCCAATGGATTTGATGGTGTTGACCTCGACTGGCAAGTCTTTACTATATTTAGATTAAGACTGGGGGATAATTACTGACAACGGTTCTAGGGAATACCCGGTTGCGGATGATAGAGGAGGAAAAGCCGCCGACAAAGAGAACTTTCCTAAATTCCTCCAGAACCTCCGGCACGCATTGGACCAGAGTGGGATGCCAGATCGTCCAGGACTATCAATTACAATTGTAAGTAAATTAAAGGTCCCCACAGTAGGCCATAAGAAGCGACTCTAAACTTATTTAGCCGTCTTCATACTGGTATATGCGCGGATTTGACATCGTCAAAATCGATCCCATCATTGACTTTTTTAACATTATGACTTACGATATTCACGGAACTTGGGACTCTTCTGCCAATTCGGTTGGAGCTCTGGCGCGGGCACATACAAACCTAACAGAGATTGAGCAGAGCATGCAGTTACTATGGAGAAACCATATTGACCCCGCGAGAGGTAACTTTCTTCACTATTTTGAAAATTCCTGCCAAAGCTGACAGCTGTTATAGTGGTTCTTGGCCTTGGATTCTATGGCCGTAGTAAGTCCACAACCCCACCCATCGCTGCATAGACTGACATAAAAGGTTTTACAATGAAAAGCTCATCTTGTATTGCGCCGGGTTGCCCATTTAGTGGTGGCGGCAAGGCCGGACCATGCACAAACACGTCAGGAATTCTTTCAGCTACTGAGATCAGAGAGGTAGTGGCTGGTGGAGCAAAAGTCACACTTGATTCAGAAGCAGGTGTAAAGGTCATTACTTGGGACGATGACCAGTGGGTATCCTATGATGATGGCGAAACCATGAAGATGAAGCAAGTCTGGCTAATTATCACCTTTACCCTGACATAGCTGACTATATCCCACAGGATCAAATACGCCAATAGTCGGTGCCTTGGAGGGTTAGTTTTCTACTTATCCCTATCGTTACCATGTATCTCCAACTAACGGTGCTTCATAGAACAATGGCGTGGGCTATAGATTTGGATGATGGAACTACGATAGAGGAACTTGGGGCCGTTCTTAACCGCCCTAAAGCTCCAACATTCGATCCGGATCTTTTGGATCCAAACAAGAATAATACAGATTTGGGAACTGGATATGGTGTTTGAACCTGGATGTCGTCTAGTCTAAATTTAATGATAAACAATAACGTACATGTATAGCGAAAGCGCCAAACAAGCGAAAGCGCCAAACAAGCGAAAGCGCCAAACAAGCGAAAGCGCCAAAATTATCTACCCTCACGACAAACATTGCGATAAATCTACCACAACATTAGAAATCAATTGAAACTACTCGGAGTCCTCTTCCTCAGAGGTGTCTATTACAATCTGACACGTGCGCGCATTGTGCCCAGTCTCACCACACTTGCCACAGCGACGGGCACGGGTTTCTTCCCTTGGCTTCCGACCACGGCTTGCCCTTATTTCCTGCTCTACCTGCTGCACAACATCCCTCTCATCCTGTAGCTCTTGCGCCCCTTGTTGACTAAGTGATCCTCCTTGCTGTAGTCGTGTTTTCCTAGCTCTCCGGCGCTTGCTTAGTACTTCATTTGCCTGTCGTAGGTTTTGGTTCTCTCCCTTTAGCAGTGCTAATTGATGCATTATTTGCGATGCACCCTTTGTAAACTGGTCAACAGCTGCATAGATTGAGGTTGGAGAGCTATTTTGATGGCGTGAAATCTGAGTTTTAATAAATGTAGACTGTGACATAGCTTCAATTGGGTTGTTTGGTGTCTGAGAAACCCAAGGTTGAGCAGTACCTGGGCGGGAGCTTGGAGGCGTTGGTGTCCTTAACTTAAGATCAAGTGTAGATATCACTCTCTCAGAGTCAAATGGAAGAAGCCCTGCCCCTCGGAACCCGCCTCAAATGTTACTTTCCGTCATTGTAGTGTTAAATGCAGCGTGGAAGGCAGGAAAGAAGTCATCCTTTGTAATATGAGAAATATGAGCCTGCATCATATCTTCAATTTGCCGACCATAGGCCTGCTTTAACGGGCCGAAACAGCCAACATCAAGTGGCTGGAGTAGATGAGAAGAGTGAGCAGGCATACAAAGCGTAATAATGTTGTGTTCCTTGCAGTACTCCTCAAACTCATCTGAGTGGTGGCTCTCATGACCATCAAGGACTAACAAGCGATAACCACCAACACTCCGGGCCTTTGTATGCTTCTCAAAGTGCTGAATCCAATCCATGCCTCTCTCGTTTGTAGTCCAGCCATTTTCAGTAACAGAAATCACCCAATCGCTTGAAAATCCACTATTCTCATACCAAGATGTAAGGTGGTTTTTGCCTGCAACAATGATAAATGGTGGTACTGCCCAACCTTGAGAACTAACGCCTTGGATTACTGTAACCCATTCCCGATTACCAGGCTGTACCTTCTTTGCTTTTGCCCGCCCGTCTGAGCTTGTTACAACCATAGCAGTTGAGATAACGCCCATCATAAACCCAGTCTCATCAAAGTTGTAGATATCTGCTTCATCGATACCATATTTCGCAATTGTGTTACGCACAAGCTCAAACCAGCCATTAATAACTTCTGGATCTTCGCACTTAGCCCTCTGGTAGTCGTATTTGCGCTGAAAGCGTGTCTGGAGCTCTACACGCCGCTTAACAAAGTTTGAAGCCCAACGCGACCCAACGCGTGACGCGTCGCGTGTTGCAAGTAGTCGACTTGCCATATCTTCAACAACAGACAGCCGAGGAGGAAACCCTTTGGCAGCTAGGTCGAGTATATACTGAACAAGGACGGACTCCTCTAGGTTAGTTAATTTCCGTGAGTTGGCTTGGATATCGCGTCGTGAAGGTACACCTTCTAGACGACGACCTAGCTTGCGGTGGTCCACAGAATAGATCCTAGCAGCAACTCGAAGGCGTAACTTTGGGTCGCTTTGCATAGCCTGGATAGCTAGCACTAATTGGCTTTCATCGTTTTTATGGGGCATGTTTTGTTGTTGAGGAATTTAACATTTAGTTGGGGGGTTTGGTCACCGCATCATTTTGGCGCTTTCGCTTGTTTGGCGCTTTCGCTATACATGTACGTTATACGATGTGATTTCCATATATAACATTATTACGGAGTGTCCCGAACCCAAGGTGCCAATAATGATCGCATATTGAACATTAAGCTCTCCTCACGCCTAAGCGGCCATGCCATTGCTGCGTGTATGCGTATCCCGACTATCTATATGAGCTCAGGCAGGTGGATAAAAAAGGATATCCCGTAGCGATCGGCGCGTCACAGATCAACAAATTGTAGTAGAGCTAGGCTGCGCACTGGGTACTCACGAGTCGAGTAGTAGAATTTTTACTCACCCAGCTGAGTTACTCGCTCATGTCCCGAGTATTGTTGAATGAGGATTACTCACTTGCTGAGTACCTAGTATGGGTCTTGGCAACTCAGTTATATCACGTGTTTGATTAGCCATTACTTATGTTAAAAACGGGGTGCGACTTCATTGATCAAGACGCCATAACTCCAACTCCATTCCCATATTGTTGATGTCCTATTCCACACTATAACCTTTGGCCTTTAGGTACCAGGTTACCAGATGGTTGCCAGAACTCATCTGACCTTCATTCCTGGGTGAGAGACATTTCCATCGATTAAGCCCACAGCTTAAACATCATATCCTGCAAACGCCGAACCAATATCATACCCTTTGCCTGAATTGTCACTCTCTTCGCATGAATAGCGAGGAGGTTTGTCACTATAACTGTTAGTATGTCCCTGTCACTATGTTTAAACATCATACTCTCAAATTCTCGAATGAGGAAGCATTCAGCAGCTTCCTAAAGAGCTAGGATAGCAGATTGCTGGAAGCGAAGATTGGACTTGAAGTCTTCTGTGATTTCCCTAACAAGACGCTGGAATGGGAGCTAGTATCAAGTTGCTGTCTTCTGATATCGCGGAGAGCCTTGGTGCCTATATGTTTATTAGAGAGTTCTGGTAATCCTCTGGTAATCCTCTGGTAATCCTCTGGTAATCCTCTTACTAGACTTTGTGCAGCGCGTGGCCTTCTGAGCATGATTGTTGCTAGCTTGAGATGAGCAAACTGGAGCTTTTCTTGCTGTGCCCACAGCCTTTTCCTGTCCCTTTGCGCCAAGCCCAGAGCCAGCCCGTAATCCAAGTGGCATCCTTGGTGCTATGCCGCCAGTTGATCTCCTAGCAGTTTGCTTGGTACGAGTCATTTGCTAATATCAAGGTGAGTTAGTAAAGTAAACACAAGATAAAGAAGTAGATCAAAAGATATGTGTACTTACAGTGAGTTTGTAGAAAGAATATTGCAGAAGAAGAGTATAGTAAAGAGGTAGAGGTTGAAAGGTATGTGTTTTATATGAAGGTGCGCATTGTGGTGTTGTTTTTGGAACAGTAATTCTTTGTAGGTGAATATTCCTTCACAAATATTTTTGTTTGCAACTTTAAAATAACCATGACCTTAGAACCACCTTCCTTGGTTACTCTCCGATCTACACATTCTTCTTCCCTTTTGAGCCTTTACCTCTTCACTAGGACTTCAACTAAGTTTATTATCTTGATTCTATAGCCAGAACTTCTGGAGATCTCTGCTAATCACGTGTTTAGTTAGTATGGCGAAACTCAAGGCACATGAAGAACTCTCCACTAATGCGAATACTATCAAAGCTCGCAACTGCGTCTCCAACCTTACTGAAATTGAGAAGGCTGTTCACTTAGCACTCAAGGCTGACCATGCTGATCTGAGCTACTACTTAAAGAAGTTATATAAGTCTGCAAAGTGTAAGGATGCCTCCTTACCTAGATACTCGAAGAACCCGCCTCAGAGCTGTTACGGTCACCACAAGCATGAAATCCGACTCGGTGTGGTTTCGGACCAGTAGAGGAGGACATAGCGAGTTACACTATAGTGGGGGACAGTAAGGGTGTAGGGTTCAGGGTCGATGCGGACCTGTTGCGGTGGAAGGTTCAGGGCTAGGGTTGGGATAACCGAGTCGGGCCCGTTTCGGGTACTTAAGGAAACAAACTTAACGGGGTTCCCCCTTCATCTTTTTTGTATCCTTCGTAGTAGACCTATAGGATAGCATCCTTTTAGCCTCCAACTCGCACTCTCATATGCTATTACTGTGAGCTGGGTGCCCTGTGTCATTACACAAAGTATATCGCTGCCTCTACTGAAGACAAGACACGTCTACAGAATGAATTGAAGGTTGAGCGTATTTGTGTTCGGTAAGTTCCTTCTGGTAATCTCTGGTAGCCTCAATCTAACTATAAACAGGACTGAGAAGGGTACCCATGCATCTTGCATTGCGAATCAGAAAGTCAAGAATATTAGCGCCTCTTCTTCTCCACAAGCCCCACCATCTACTCCGCCCAAACAACTTCTGTCTGAGCTTGCTGCATTTGAGGGTATCTCAAGTATTCCAATCGATGACAATCATAACAGCGAATGGGAGGATACTGAGGTTGAAGACGATTTGGAGTTGGAGCTTATGTTACAGCGCGAGATATTTTAAATGACGAGGCTGTTCTACCAGATGAGCTTTCCGATGAAGAGATCACTAGCACCCAGGCTCTCTTAACTCAAGCGCACATTGATGTATGCTACCTCATAATCTGGTAATCTTCTGGTGATACTAATAGTTGATAGGCCCATGAAGAGTCCAATTTCCGCAAGTGGCAACATTTCTGGGATAGCTGTATCCACTCATATACGAGAAAGGCTGGAAAGCTGAGAAAGAAGCCTGAGCGTCTCTTTGAGTATATGCCGTGGATTGATGTAGAGGAAGGGTACGTCTCTGATCATCCTAGCAATCTTCTGGCAATACTAATTGTTTATTATAGCACTTTTCACGAGGTTATCCCACCACATAAATATTTCTGTTTGTACGAGCAGGCAGTTTGGAAAGTGGGCCTAATTACCAGGACCTGTGCAGTGGTACCCAAAGTCTTACAATCTTGTCGACAATGGATGGTTGCAAATATCCACTCATAGTTCTAGCTTCAAAGAGGCGTTCTTACTTGTCTACTCTAAGAAGTTTGATAAGGAAAAGTGGGCTAAGGTATCAGCTGCACAGGATATGTTGTTCCTGGAGCTAGAGTAGAGGAGAACTTGAGTTGCTAAAGTTATAGCGCTGGAGTACCTTTCGCGTTGGAAAACCAGGTATTTAAGTACTTCATCGTAGCCAGACTTCTGGTAACCTTCTGATAATCGAGCAATTTGCCAAATGCCATCTCAATACTCAGAGTTGTTTGATTCTGACAGTATTCTCAGACTCTTTTCCGTCTTCTCAACGACTATCTTCATTAAATCAAGTCTGTAAGGACACAGGGCACCCAGCTCACAGTAATAGCATATGAGAGTGCGAGTCAGAGGCTAAACGGATGCTATCCTATAGGTCTACTACGAAGGATACAAAAAAGATGAAGAGAGGAACCCCCGTTGGGTCAATCTCCTTAAGTACCTGAAACGGGTCCGACTCAGCTAACCTGCCTTAACTCTTATCATGTGACCGTAACCTGCCCGACTCAGATCCTTTCCATCACTGAGGGACAGGCATCCTTACAAAGTCCCTGCAGGCCTTGAATATATTGGCAAGTTAAACCAATTCGTCAAATGGACTAAGGATACACACGATATATTCATTGAGTGGTGGAAGCTATCACGATGGTATGAACAACACTCAGATCATACTACAAAACTCCTTATGAAGATTGCATGGGATTCAACCAACTGGAGTTCTCAATACTGGAGAAGTTATCACCAAGGAGCAGACTGGCTTTCTGGAGAACCATGTGTTATTTGTACTTATTGTTCGAAGGCCCTTACGCATCCTGCAATCAAGTCTGCTGGCCCAAAGTCTATGGCAACACATCTTGCATCAGACATTTGCAAAAAGAAGTCACAGATGGGAAGGATAGTCTCTATCAAATGCGAATCAATCAAATGCAACCTCAACAAGTAAGGATTACCAGATTATTACCAGAATTATGTAGGTTAATACCTATAATAAGATCATATTCTCACAGCTTACTAGAGATGGCGAGAGTGATGCTAATAGATGTAATACTTTAACTTAACCATAAAACAGTATTAATCGTATGAGGGACTGTTCACATGATGCATAAATCTTACACGTGATAGCCGAGTACTCACCGGGTTTTTACAGAGTAACTGAGTATTGACCTCACTCACCGAGTCGAGTAAAAGGTTCAGCTACTCACCCAGCTGAGTAACCCACTGAGCGAGTGAGCCGAGTATTGAGCGAGTAGTGCGCAGCCTAAGTAGAGCTCACGTAAGATGTAACAATCCTATCTTCCGGATCACCATCCTTCTCAGTATCGGGCCTTCGCTGACTGTCTCACTCTTATACTCATACGTTACAGCCAAGCCAATGAGAAACTCAAGGCTGAAGCGCTCCATTTCGCTCAATATGGTAATTTTTAGTCTTTGCCGACGGGGGCGGTCATGTGAACTAGGATTCATTAGCGTCCCCATAATCTGACATGCATTGCCGATCAGGTCAGACAGGGTCTTAGTCTCGGGCAGGGGTATGATGTGGGGCCACGGATGCAAATGGCATTAATTGACAGTGAATCCTGCCAGAGTCCAAACGGGAACTCGCTGCAACTTGGTGATACGGATTACGAGCAATGGAGCAAAGGCTCATGATCGTACGTTTACAAGGTCATTTTTTTTGCAAGGAATTCTTGCTCGCAAGGCATTCTTACTTGCAAGTGGGGCTAAGGCAAATCCTTGGCTCCTGCAGGATGAGCTGAATCCCAATCCCTCCGATCTAAGGGTTTGCCTTAGCCCCATTGCCATTGTCCTGGCTCCCTCTCTACCCCTTCCTTCGACTCCGACTCCAAGCCCTAGGCCATATCGCCATAAGTTTGCCGAAGATCTCATTGAGTCCCATCGCTTTCATGTATTGGGGAGCTGCCCCATTATCCAATGCCGCCAAATCGTTGTCGGAACTATTCGTCAACCGAAACAACATTTCTAATTCTGACCGCAAAGGAGCTTTCTATGACAACGATGAGGTTGCTCTTTTTTACAGTCGCCCTGACGGCGTCGATTGGCCAGACGGGTATCGTCGACTTGAACGCTGACGCAGTCGTTCGGAGAGCAGACGCGCCACATACAACATACCATACAACTGCAAACAAGCCAACGATGACAGGAATTGCCACAAACTGTAACAAGTTCTACGATGTAGTTAAAGGCGATGATTGCGAGACTGTAGCGGCAGCTTTCAAAATCACGAAAAATCAATTTCTTGCATGGAATGTAGGTTTTGAGTGCCAGACATAACGAAGTTTGTACTGATAGTTTTGCAGCCTGCAGTTTCTGCAGACTGTGGCACCAATTTTTGGGTTGGAGACTCATACTGCGTTGGCACTGGTAAGGCAGGTGTTAGCAGCACCAAGAGCGATGCTCCTCACACGACTGTCTACACGAAACCGGATAAGCCTACACAGACTGGGACCATCTGCAATTGCAACAAGTGGTATGATGTCGTTGAGGGCGATGACTGCGGGACAGTTGCGACCGCGTTTAAGATACAGCTTGCGGACTTCCTAAAAATGAACGTGAGTCTGTGCTGGAAACCCAATCTTGACTCGGTGCTAACTTGTAAAAGCCGGCGGTATCGTCTGACTGCGTCACCAACTTCTGGGTTGGGAATAGCTATTGCGTGGGGACATCGGAAGGCGCTTGCCCTACATCGACGTCAATCAAACCTCATAACTCTACTACCATCTCTTCATCTTACTCTATAATTTCGCAACCATCGAGCTCCTATGTGCAGGTCACAAGATCCACAGCCACATCCTGGCCGCCAACTCAAACCCAGGCTGGGCAAGTGCCATACTGTGAGAAACTCTGATGACTGATGTGACGAAGCTAACTAGTATAGGCAACAAATGGAAGCTGGTATATCCAGGCGACACTTGCGCCAGTATACAAGCAACATATTCAACCTCAATGTCGTTGGATGACTTGTATGTAATCATCAATCTGCTGGTTGTAGCACATATATTACCAGAAGCTAACATAGCCACGAAGCAAATCATGGAACCCCGCCTTGGGTGCTAATTGCACCAACCTTTTTGCTAACTATTTTGTTTGCGTTGGTAAGATTCTGCATATTTGGAGCCATCCAGGACAAGCTGACCATACACAGGAATCCAATCTCAAACAAGTGCTACACACAACACTACTGCAACTTCGCAATGGTATCCACCATATACTCCAACTGTTCGCCCAACACCTAATAGCACGTTTGTGCCTTCACCAACTCAGAGCGGTATCCCACCTAGCTGTATGGCTTTCTATCAAGCTACCACCAATGATACTTGTGAGTCGATTATAAAGGAAGAGGGCTATGTGTCATTGAATGAGCTCAAACAGTACAATGTAAGTCTCAATCTATCGTAATACCTGTGCCAACTAACAGGGTAGCCCGCCCTTGGATCTGATTGCTCCGGGCTAATTGCAGGGGATTATTACTGTGTTATGAATGGCACACTTCCGCTGCCGTCTGTGGCGACAGCTGCACCGGCAGCCACACAGGCAGGTATTACACCCGACTGTGTTTCATGGTATCGGGCGGATAGCGGAGAGGATTGCGACCTGATTGTGAAAATGTTTGGCACATTTAGCTCCGAAGACTTCCTGAAGTGGAATCCAGCTGTCAAATCAGACTGCTCGGGTTTGAAAATAAACAACTATTATTGCGTTGCCATTCCGTCAACGCCAACAACAAGGACTACGAGCTACATCTCTACGCCACTGCCCACAAATGGAGTTGGCCCACAACCAGAACAGCGTGGGATTCCGGAAGCTTGTTCAGATTACTGGTTTGTTGGAAGGTATGTATATGCATGTTGGTTTATGTACAAGTAGAACCTTTGCTAAAGCTTCAGTGGCAGCGTGGATACCTGTGACTCCATTGCAACCAAAAATAATATCACAGCTGCTCAACTGGAAAGTTACAACGTAAGTAGACTTCGAGATTCGAATCTTCGAAGATAGGAGCATTAACTCCTATATAGCCGGCACTTAGCAGTGGTTGCTCGGGTCTGACACCAAACTATTATATCTGTGTTGAGATACCAGGTAGCTCTGCAACCAGTGCCACAGGTACGGGCACAACTGGCAGTGCTTCGAATACCGGCGCCACAAAACCGATGGCAACAACTGATACGCTTCCAGAACCAATACATTAGTCCCAAGTGCAACTACTAGGGCTTCTTCAACAAAGGTAGGAGCATCGGTGAGTACTGAACCGTCTTCTTCAGCGGCAAAAACCTAGCGACTCTAAAGATTATGAGTTGGGGATAGCTTGATTAATGTAACTTAATAATTTTTTATTTTGATAACATCTCAATGATAAGGGTATGCGATATAAGCTTTATGAGACTGTCGTGAGATGATTTACATGATAAACTCTAATCGTTATTTATAGAGTTCCCGAATGTATTGCAATCCCATGCCTATCCTATACAAAACAAACCATTCGTCCTTTGATAATCCATAATTACTCCCATGTCAAGGTGACGATCACCTATTGGCCGATGTCCCAAAACAATATTGCATCGTGAATATATCCGGGAATGAATCCAGCGTAAAATTCGACCCCTCATCGACGCTGAAATTGAAACTTCTCGCATACGAAACAGGAACCAGCACCTCAAAAAGATCCATTTTTCCTAGCTGCTTTAGAGGCCCTAACCACACTTCCTTCAAGTCAGGCGGTGCGGGATAAGGACATTCATGAGCTGCGACCGCGACCCTGAGGTGCCGGAGGCTGGGCATAGCGGCAAACATGGCCCACATGTCCTGATACAGTTGCGTCTGTTTGGTGTCGATGGGCGATAAACCCAGACCGATAAATTCCCATAACATCTCAATGGCGCCGATGAGTGCAAAGCGCTGTGGGAGGACTAAAGACGGAAAATCGCATAGGAGCTGTCGAGTGCCAAAATCAAATGTTGTGGTGCAGTAAAGTATGTCGATTGCTTCTGAGTATCTTGCATTTAAGTTAGCAGCCTACACGAAGATATAGAAGCCGGAGCAGCTAGAATGCCAATTATTTACATTTGTCGACATGTTAGTAGAATCGCAAAATCCAGCTTCAGTTTGCCCATCATTCCGTTCGGAGGGCCTGGATTCCCATCACTAACTCCATCTTTGCACCGGTCAAACCAGATGCTCCGGAAGCCATCATCCTCGGTTTGGTCCCAGGTGCAGATGCAATGCCACCATCGCCACTCTAAGATCTCTTTCTTATTCGTTATGTCCCTACGGTACTTGCGCGGTGCGAATTCAAACATCAAGTGGACTTTGCGATGGCTGAGGACTTTGTCGTAGATGCGACGACGAAGCTCGATCGGTAGCTTCCGCAGGAGCCCTAATGTATGCTGACCAGGTTCATACAAAGACAACGATCGCTCACGAGTTTTGGGCAGACGTGGCTGTACGTTTTTATCTTCATACTCTGGCCGTTTCGGACGAACGGTCTTGTGATTCTGTGGCTCGGTCAGGACAACTGCGCTTATCAGTTAGACGGGCATTGAGAAAAACCTTGCGATTGAAGGGCTTCTTGAAGTCCACCATCATGCGATCTAATTGATAGCCACTGGTCTACATGGCTCAGTGTTCATTCTAGTTTGATGTTATCAAGGTCGTTGGACAACGTCGCTTATGGTTGTCTGACACACAGCCATAAACGACGCTATCTGATAATCGTCGGTGCGAACACCGACGATTATGCATCTACGTTAACTTACATGTAATCGCAGTTCACTGTTTATCCGTAATGAGTCATGCAAAAGCGAGTGGATGGTGCAAAAAAGTAAAGCATCATCAAACTATCATCCACTTTCCAATGTACCCCGCCTCAAACCCATGCCGTTTGCGGGATAGACGTGGCCGCCTCTTACTACCTTGTTTGATGTAGGTGACTGAAACGTGATCGTTAAACCAGAACCACTCAATTCAAAGCGTCCAACACTACATATTAACAAGGCTGGCGCCATGACTGAAATAAAAAACTTGTATGGTCAGAGCACTCATTTCGCATGATACATGTGCGTGCAGTACCTGGGATCTGGATTTGGTCCTCGATATGGCTGCCTTGTATGTTTGGAATGAACCTGTTATACAAAAAGCATATATAGTACTGTATTCTGCTCGGTATGTTTGCCTCGATATATCTACTATAAAATCTTTGCAAAATCATCTTTAGCGTCGTATCCTCGATATCTTTACCTTTTATAACTATCCTTAGGAAACATGAGTCTGATAAGAAACCGGCGAACCCTATCGTTATGGGAAGCGCAGTCAAGGCCAGAGTGGGGTGCAACGAGGTTCTGGGAGTATGTATTCAAGGAGGATATCTTCAATGGTCGTGACTGGGCAATCTCATCTCAGCAACCCCCAACGAACGATCAGGGAGATAGGCGCAGGGTGGATCTCTGCATCGAAAGATGGATACACGACAAGTGGCAAAAAATCGCAGTTTTCGAGGCAAAGAAGACAAACTGTTCTCAGGCCGAAATTAATGAAGTCGAATACCTAGCCTACAACGCCTGCATGGAACATTTTGTCGACTCTGGAAGGAAACAGATGTATGGCATAACCACCATAGGGACTACGGCACGCATTTGGTATGTCACCAAAGCCGGTGACTATCTCCTTCCTATGTGTAATGATGTACGGTTACGCTCGCGCTACATCCCACTGAGCCAAAAAGACTACAGTATCCCTGCTCGCCCTTAATACGCGTAACACGCTTTATATACCACATGTACTGTAACGGCGGCACCGTTACACTATGGTGCCTGCAACAGTAGGCCTCTCCGACCGACCAGCATACATCGAAGCACACAGCTCTGAGGCATCAGATCTCACGGAAGGTTTCGATTATATGGTCAAAAATGATATGATGTCTGACAAAAAACTTCAAGTACTAAGGAGCAACCGTTCTCCGAGACCGTCGCAACTCCCGGCAAATAACCCGTACCTTGGGCCAGCTACCCAGCTCAAATATGGTATAGCAAGCTCAGTGTACCCGTCGAATCCAACCGGCTTTATGAGCCCAAATCCTCAAGCTCAATTCCAGTCACCTCAGCCGCTCTATGGATCCCGTCAGCTCCCAGGGACACTGAATCCTTCTCCTTATTCCGCCACTGGACCGCAAGTCTACACCACGGATCCGATTAAATGCATGACGAATGTCAATCTTTGTAAGATATTTGGCACTGTGATCTGAGCCAATGTTTCATCGATGAGGGGTAGTGGGTATGAGTCTTTTCTTGTGATGGCATTTAGCTTGCGGTAATCAACACAGAATCGAAGTCCGCCACCTGGTTTGCGGACGAAAAGGACAGGAGAGGCAAAGGGAGCTTTGCTAGCTTCAATAAATCCTTTCGACAAGTTGTCGTCAATATATTTCTTCACAAGATCAAGTTCCTCCTTTGCATGTTGTAAAGGGGCGCATGTCCTAATTTCGAATCTTGTTCTAAGACGATGTGGTGGTCTGCATATCGGTGAGGGGGGAGTTCATCTGCAGCCTGCTTTGAGAACACATCGAGATATTTATGGAACTCCTTTGGGAGGATCAGTTTTGGGTCGATTTCCTTCGCTTCCTCCTTTGCCTGTTCAGCGAGTATATCTTTAAATGATACTGCAAAAACCTTAGCTCCCTTCTGCTTCCAAAGCATATTAAATGGTGCGGCTCCAATTTTGCGACAGTGCATGTGTTCTTATAAGGAGGTTGGAGGGCTGGCTTCCAAGATTTGTCATCTTGTATTTGCTTATTGACTTGGGGAATGTAGGTTTCGGATTTTTAGTATTCGTTGGTGTAGTGTGCTGGCAATGACCTTTAGTAAATATGACTTGGTCATTTACCATATCAAGTATAACTCCATGTTGCTTCATCCAAGCCTTCCCAAGAATGACAGAATGTTTCCAAAGAGTGGTGATGAATAGAGGGCATAGACTTTTAACATGGTCTTGGACCTGTAGGCGAGGGTATATAGCATGAGTAATGGGAGGGGCTGCTGTTCCATCAAAGCCTTGAATAGGGCATGGCTTTAAAAGCTCTAGTGGTGATATGCCTTCTATCTCACAAATTCATTCTGCGTCAACAGCATTCACAAAGTTTCCTCCAGTAGCTCCAGTATCGATAAGGGCTTGTGCTTTGATTTTTGATTTTCTATCATACAAGTAACTATGAATGGAGTATCTGGATCTAATCCAAAGCTTGAGGAAGAAGTTGCAATTCTGGCTGTCATGACACCTTCAGGGACGTCTTGTCTGAAGGTTATTCTTTTCCTGAAAGTGGAGCATCATAAGTGCTAACTTTGTGGACTTGAGCATTCTTGGTAGGACATTCATAAGCTCGGTGTCCAGTTTGCTGGCAATGGAAGCAGCGGCCTTCCTGCATTAGCTTCTCAGTTGCAGGGTTCTGATGTGGTGCACGATATAGTCTTGGTGGTCTAAAGCTAGCAGGTGGGTTTGTAGTAGGCTGCTGAGCCTTACTGTGAAAGTCTTGTGGCTTAAAGGCTTGCTGAATAACTCGAGGGACAGTGCGAGCATCTTGGATTTGAAGTTTCTGGATATTCTGATGAATCAGTAAGCACTTTTGTGCAAAGGCATGAAGAGAGCTTGGATTTATCTCTGCTATTAAAGCAGTCTGCATCTTCGTATTAACCTTATGGCGGAGGTCATCAATGAGGGTCTCTTCTGAGTAATCCAGTTCAACAGTGAGTCTCTGGAACTCTGCCCAAAAGGTAGCAAAGTTATCCTTGTTTTGGAAGAGCTTTCTATAAGCACGTTGTGCAGTAAAGTGGCGGTCTGGATCACTGAAGACTCTGTCTAGGACTTCAAACATTTCCTCTACAGTTTGAAACTTGTTCTGAGTAGATCGAAGGCATGGATTGATGTGAGAGGAGGCTTTGCCACCTAGTCTGCTTTGCACATAACCCATCTGAAGGGCTGGAGTAGGAAAATGGTCAAGGTTCGCCTCGAGCTTCATCTTTATCTTAATGCTCCAATCGTCATAAGCTGGCTCTATTCCGTCTGTGAGAGTAGGAGGGTCCGGGATCATGGTGGATTTCTGGTGTGATTCTCTATTGCGAGTAGTGCTGCTTTTTGACTTCTCATTTTCAAGATATTTCACAACAGCAGCTTGTCCTGCCATTGTCTGCTCATGAGCTTGGATAACTGCCTCCGACTCGCACTCTCATATGCTATTACTGTGAGCTGGGTGCCCTGTGTCCTTACAGAGAGAGGCTGCGCTCAAATCCAAAAGCAGATGATGGAGGATTATGATCATGTCACCCAGCTCTACAATACTACCCTCCAGAAGAGTCGAGAGGAGAAGGCTACATATGATGACAATATCAGCCAGCTACAAGCTAAACGGATGCTATCCTATAGGTCTACTACGAAGGATACAAAAAAGATGATGAGGAACCCCGTTTGGTCAATCCCCTTAAGTACCCGAAACGGGTCCGACTTGGCTAACCTACCCTAATGCTCCTCACGTGACCGTAACCTGCCCGACTCCAATGCTTTCCATCACTGAGGGCTTTGGCATCCTTACACTCTCTGGGCTTGGCTCCAGGTGCTCACAACTGAGAGGTCTTTAAGCTCCCAAATGCGAAGGGTAGCTTGGTGTTCTGGATCCTCGAGTAGTGTTTCCCTTCTATTATAGGTGTGGCTTTCTAAGCAGTCCTCATTGCTTGTAGTAGATTGGGTTTCTTGTCCTTGATCTTGACTCCTGTCACGGATGACATGTCCTTGTGCATCGCGTGCCATTATAGCAGGCTTCACTTCTTGTCCTTGGAATTGTCGAGGTCAGGATCTTCTTCTGACTTTGTCGGTATCAGGAACTAGACACGTATGTGGTGAAGGCCCTATTATGCAGTTGTCGGCCGTACGAGCCACTCAAGAGGAGCGCACTTCCGTCACAGTTATATCCTTGTTGAGGGAGCATCACGGAAAGGTCTAATTCTGCTGATATAATGTTCTGGGTTCTGATGCTTGAGTGTGGTATTGAGTTGACTTGTGGTTTCTGGATTTGATGTTCTGGTGTTCTGGTTCTGGTTCTGGTTCAATGTGTAGCTCTGGTTGGTCTGAGTTTCGATTTCTGGTTCTGGAGGTTCTGTTGCACAAAGGTTTGTGCTGGTTTCTGGTTTGAGGGTTCTGTTGCTCGAAGGTTTGTGCTGGTTTCTAGTTTCTTGCTCAGGATGAGCTAATGAAGAAATGAGATTCAATCTTATGTTACGATGGTCATAGAGGTCATGATGCCAGTCCAGGAAAAGTCATCTAGATTGAATCTAAAGAGAGAAGAAGAAGAAGAAGGAAGGAAGGTGAGGCTATTCCACATAACATACAGTTGTCTGCTTAGCGGTTGTAACCTTGTGGCTAAGGCTACACCCGTAATCCCCATACAACTGTAATAACCGTAACAACCATAACAACTGTAACAACCGTAACAACCGTAACAACCGTAACAACCGTAACAACCGTAACAACCGTAACAACCGTAACAACCGTAACAACCGTAACAAGCTGTGACAAGCTGTGAGCTGTAATCGTAACAGTAGCAACACCTGAAGCTGTTGCTTTTGTCGATCATCCTCATCATTGCTTCTGGTCTGTCAACAGGCCTTTGAGTCAAAGCATCTGCTTTTCCATTTTGCTTTCCAGGCCTATAGATGATCTGGAAGTTGTATCGAGAGAGGAATTCAGCCCATCGAGCTTGTTTTCTTGTGAGCTTCTTGGTGGACATGAAGTATTCCAAGCTTTTGTGATCAGACAAGACTTGGACTGGAAAATCTGTCCCTTCAAGTTCTGGTCTCCATGCTTCGAAACATCTGATGATTGCAAGCAATTCCTTGTCATATATCTCGTAATTGCATTCTGCAGGTGCTAGCTTTTTTGAGAAGTATGCCACTGGATGTAGAACCCCTTGATCATCTTTTTGTGACAAGACTCCTGATGAGATGAAGTCTGAGGAATCTGCTTCGATATAGGCTGTCTTGTTTCTATCAAAATGCCTCAAGACAGGAGCTTCTGTGACTGTTTGTTTTAACAGCTCGAATGCAGTTTGGCATGCATGAGTCCATTCGAATATCTGATCCTTTCTGGTAAGGTTCACCAATAGCCTCATGATGCTGGAGTAATTTCAGATGAACCTTTGATAGAAATTGCAGAATCCAATGGAAGCTTGCATATCCCTGAGCGATTTTGGAGTTCGCCATTCCAATATAGTAGAAACCTTTGCAGGGTCCATGTGAATGCCATTGACTCCCACAATGAGTCCTAGGAATTTGGTTTCTTGGACGAAAAACTCACATTTTGAGATATCTGCTTGCAGTCCAGCTTCTCGAAGCTTCTGTAGGACTTTTATTATGTGCTCTGTATGCTCTACTCGAGTAGCACTGTAGATAAGAATGTCATCCATGTATGCGATGATGAATTGGTTGAGGTAATCTATAAGGGTTTCATTCATGTACCTCTGGAATGTTGCTGGACCATTTGTGAGTCCGAAGGGCATGACCTTGTATTTGTATGATCCAAATCGAGTTCTGAATGTAGTGAAGTCTTCATCTTCTTCTGTCTGCATTCGAATTCGATTGAAGGCATGTTGAATGTCCAGTTTGGTGAGATATTTTGCTCTTATGACTTGGGCCAGCGTTTCATCAATGAGTGGTATGGGATATCGATCCTTTTTCGTTATGGCATTTAGCTTCCTGTAGTCAACACAGAATCAAAGACCACCACCTGGCTTTCTCACAAACATAATGGGTGAAGAGTATGGGGCTTTGCTTGCTTCAATGAACCCTTTTGGCAAGTGCTCGAAGACATATTCTTCAACCAAATCAAGTTCTTCCTTTGACATATTCCAGAGTGGTGCATATCCCAGCTTTACATCACCTTCGAGTTCAATATAATGGTCTGAAGGTCGATGGGGAGGTAGCTTGTCTGCTGCCATTTTCGAAAAAAACATCCAAAAATTCATGAAATTCCTTCGGAAGGATCAGTTGAGGGTCGATTTCTTCAGTTTTGGTCTTGTTCTTGTGCTCGATTATGTCCTTCATTGATATAGCAAAGACTTGAGCTCCTTTTTGCTTCATGAGCATTTGACATGGTGCTGCGCCAATCATTGCTATGGTGCAAGGTTTTGGTTTTTCCACTTTCGGAGCAGGTTCCGGAGGAGGCATTTCTTTGGCTTTCTTCTTTGGCCTTTGTCTTTTGCTT